TAATGGATGCGAGAACCCATGCGCTCTGGATTGGACTTGCCATTTGTCCCACACCTGTCAGCTGAAGACGAATGTCTGCTGCATCAATGGGAACTAAATGACTTGGAGGAAGGCCATTTAGAATGGCGACCTCCGCTGGATGAGCATGGCGTAAACCTTCATAGGATTCATTGGCATCACCTGTGATTTTGCCAGTTGGGATCACCAATCCGTAAAGCCCTTTACTAGCTAATCTCTGCTCACTGAAGCCTTGGGACCTGCAACCGCACGCACATGGAACACATTGACCACCCCATGAGTGGGTGGCTGTTGGCAAAGGTCCATATGTATCCATTACATGCTGCGCGAAACCCTTGGGGCCCCTTCCGAATTGACGCAATTCATGGATGACAAGACTTAGGCCAACCTCTTCAGCTTCAGGCATTTCAAGCATAGTCTTGATCAAATGAATGACTGCTGGATCAAACCTCAAACTTGGTACCTCTGGGATTTGGTGGAGCAAAAGTGCTGGGTGCACCACAACACACCACCATCTTGTCCTACGAGCAGGCCATGTATGGTGAAGATCCATGACATGTTGGAAAGTCCTATAATTGGTGATCTCTCGAAACTTGCCTAAGACTTGCGAAACCCAGGCGGAAGCACCAGCTTCCTTTGTACACTCAAGGATGATCGCTACTGGTCTTGTCAGGTAAGCCAGTTGCAGTGTTCCTGGCAGGGCTTCTGATCGCTGATCTAGATGCTCTCGACGATCTCCCAGAGCTGAGAATGGCTGACAAGCAATTCCAGATCTAATGGTGAAAGAGCGTCTGTCAGGAATGCGTTGCATCACTTCGGCTTGTGTTTGGCGTTTGGCAATGTTACCACACACCACTGTAGCTTGTCTTCTTTCTTTCAACCAATTGCAGTACTTCGGATTGGAGTCTACATACAAGAATGTCTGACTTCCTGCGCTTTCAAACCCTTTGCCGACTGCACCAATTCCCGAACAGGCTTCCAGGATGTGGTTCAGGCCTTCTACACTGGGAGGACATGGATAAAAAATGGTTGAGTCCATTTGATGTCTCAACCAGCAAAGCCCCGACTCATAGGAAACTTTCATGCCAATGAGTGTGACCAGTGTCTTCGAAGAATCAATCGGTGCATCCGTCATGAAAACCTGGTTCCTAGTGACTGAGGAACACACGACTGAACCATCTGAAAACATCTGTAGATTAGCCATGATGTCAACCAGCTGTCCAGGATGTAGACTTCCAAGATCCGGCTCCAGGAAACCCACATTGAAATCGTCCATGGCAAAACTACCCCGCCCAAATTAGTTAGATCCGCTCGGCCCCTGGAAGGCTTTGGGCCACGAGCTGAAAAGAAAAACCACATCAAGTACTTGTACTGAAGATTTCAGCCACAACTTGGCACACAAAAAATAGTTTCACAACGTTTCACATTCAAATCAGATCCCATGATTGTTGCTTCGTGATGCTTCCCCACCACCACACCACATTCACATCATCCGCATTCCCCACCATCCACCACCCCCCCACCCTCCGACCCTCCACAGCGCAGCGCCTCACAACCGGTGCATTGAAGATTTCTCCAGACCTCCTCTGGCCGCCGCACGTTCCCGTTGGACACCACGGGGATGCCCAGACTCTGCCGCACCGCTGCGATGGCGCCCAAGTCCGCCGGGCCGTCGCGATGCTTTGGAGCGCCGCTGAGCTTCCGGCCGTGGATCGTCAGCAGGGCGCATCCGGAGGCCTGGAGGAGATGGGTGACTGCATGCGACGTCGCAGATAGTCGCAGTACTCGTGGATCAAAACGGAAGACTCAGAGGCAAAGAGGTTTTGCTATGTGGTTCGAAAAAAGTATGGCACGGCAGCCATAGCCCATCATACTGGTGGGGTCAAAACCGGTCAACCAAAACCCCCGGATGTCCATTCGTTTGAGCCAACTGGGCACAGTGAGACTATACTGTGAGACCTGTCATGCCAACCCCATCCCAGCTGATCCTGACCGTGCACCGGTCCGACCGATCCTCCGGACCCCCCAAAGCAACCCGGGCTCACCGGTTCACCACCGAGTCGGGTGTCTGAAGCGACGCTCACGGCAACGGAGAAACAAAGCCAAAGTGAAAGGGAAGATGTAAGGAGCCTGTTCTTCTCGTGGTTTGTGGTTTGTTTTTTTTGCCCAAACATCCTTCATCTTCTCGTGTCGGGCTGAGACCCACATACAGTACCCACCCCCTACCCACCCTTCGGCCTCTAAGAGCTGAGCGAACTTGATGGTGGCGCTTAAGGTGTGCTGCAGCCGGATCTTACAAACCACCGGTATCTTGAGTGCAGGACACCTCGACGATTGCCAGGGCAGCCAAACTGGGTAGATGTGCTTTTTGGTGTGTGGTTTGATGTAGCGCGTCTTCTTGTTATGCTAAGAGATGATATCCTTGTTTTTTTCTGGTTGAACTTTTAGATTGGCGGCTGTTGGATTGTGAACATACAGCAAATTAAATGATCTTGTGATGGGTCATCATGCCTCATTTGCCCCTTCATCTCAACCTCTACCAACTCCCTTATTTTGAGAAACATCTGATGTGTATGTATGATTCCTGTATGATGTTGAATAACCAAAAATGAAGCGAAGGATTTGTTGTGATTGTGGGGCTTTGCCATCTTTCATCCCCAACCTCTTCTTTCGCCCAAGGGCTGAACACACTCCTTGAGCATTTCTCCGATCAATGGCCAATTCTTTTCCTCGTTGGCCAGCCAGGCGCCGTAGTTCCCTTCGCGCGCCCGTCGTTGTGGACAGCCCAGATTGATGTCAATACCTAGTCTCCAGCGGCATGCCGAGCCCGGGACAACTCTACGTCGGGCCGTGTGAGCGAATGGAGCACCGTTGTTGGAAAGAAAGAAGCGCACAAACATGCACAAACAAGGTATCATAAGCCTTCCTCCTAGTGCGTGAACAGAAACGTTTCTCGCTGCCAAAAGGATGTTCATTCTCAAGATGAGAGGTGTTATTATTCCCAGACACTCCATGTATGCCATACATGCCTACATTGGGGTGGTTTGGGGCGTCAATGTAGGCAGTCCCATGGAGTGTATGGGATTGTTATTCGTGCAATAGAATAGCCAACCCTCCACATCTCCCCCCCTCCCATCCATCCGTCCCCTCCACCCATCCGTATCCTTTCTGTCACAGCCAGGCCACCGTCTGCACCCATCGCTTGGGCGGCCAGTGCAGCGGAAAGCAAGTCTTCGGCACGGTTGGCGGCAAACTGAACCACTAAGGGGTGGTCCTCCTCATCGATTCGGTCCTCCAGTGGACTTTTCCCACCAAATCAGGATTTTGTTTGCCCTCGAAGAATGTGGGGAGGAAGTTTGGTGTAGTTTTTCAACGCACTCCAACTCGAAACGTTCTTGAAGGCCAACCCATGAAACCGACCGTTTGTTGGGTCTGTTCTGGTGGTCGGTTTGTCGAGTTGGGGGATTTTCCGACTTCGAACGGGATTTCCACCGTCACGCCAAGGAGGACCTCTCATCGCGTCAGACCAGGACGTCCGGTCAATAATGAATCAATGATTGCTTTCAGCAGCGACCAAATGTTACAGAGTCGAAGGCACAGCTGTTCTATGATTATCAGTTGAGGGGTTCAATGGTATCAGGAGCTTCATGAACCACGCGAGAAGGGATCGTAGATGCGTTTCAAGACAAATTTGTCACTTATCATTATTGGTTATTCCTCTATATATAATATATATTATATACTAATAATGGATTGATGTTGTTACACTGAAGACCTGCATGAAGAGATACGGCCAGTCCTGGCCCCATGGTAGCACCCTCCAGCCACTATCCTGACCAAGCATCCCCCAAAGCCTTTCGACGATACATGGCGTCTGTTCCAAACTCATCTGCCATGAGCATTTCGGTGTAGCAAAGCGTGCAGCCATGAGCACCTTGCTCAAACGGCTTATGCAACGGCCGGTGAACTGTCATCACCTGAGGTCTGATAGGTTTCCATCCTCACCTTGTGGGGACATGGTCGGGGATCACGTATCCCAACCGCCCACCGGCATGTCGCCCTTGCGGATGCCCACTCCAAATGTCCTGGCTTACAAATACCACCCATGATCTGGGGACAATTATAAGAAACTATTTTGCCAGTAGACACCTCTGACATCCTCTGACCACCCACCCCAAATGACATCTTCCATACAACCAGCATCAACTAGCAGTAGCACGTCCAGGATTACCTCCTAGTTATCCGATGAACTTTATCTGCAATGATGGCAACAACCAAAAAACTATGGAACCCGTTTGACATCGTTTGACCTCTGTTTTGAGGGTCCAAAGTCCAAACACCTGCAGGTGCAGGGTCCAAACACCTGGTCAGTTCAGTTCGGTTATGATCAACGCCTAGAGGGAAGAGCACTTATTCCTGACCTCCCCACATTTCTGCTCCAAGCGACGCACCAACGCGCGAAAGGCACGATCGCTCTGCTTGACCATGGGCGCCATCACCAAGGCGGGCGTCGGGCCAAGGCCCAGCGGCAGCGGGCGATGGTGCGGGTGCTTCGCCATGCCGACGCCCGGTCTACCCAAGCAAGACAGCGCAAAGGGCGATGTTTTAGGTGTAGAACCCCAGAGTCAGGACTTCGAGAATAGACTGTGGTGATTCATGATGATTCTTCTCTGTTGAAGCCTTGTGAAGCGTGGTGAATCAAAGCTTGGGAACCTGAGCAACATTGTGCTGGTAAACTCGGGAAAAGGCTCTGCGTAGCTCTGGTGGTTGTGGCACCTAGGACCCGCACTGGCTGCATGTCCCAGCAGGTTGAACTACTAACACAGAATCCTAAAAGGTGGGTGTTTCGCTTCGGCCCATCTTCTCTTGAGTCCCCATGATCTATCATCAAAGCCTCCAAGCCAAACAGGTGGCATGCGCCAATGCCGCCAATGGATTGGTGGATTAGTGCCGGTTTGTGCATCATCATCCAGGTACCAAAGACATTCAACGCTTGCCCTTTGGAAGTTCCCGAAAGCCATGGTACCTTCTTCAAAAGGAACGCAACATGAAATTGAGCTTTTTCCGCCAAGGCAAACCTTATCCATCAAGTCTATCCCCCAAGAAGGAAGCTACATGTGCCTTGTACTGGGTCTCCGCATGTCAGACCGACCGCGAGTCAGACCAGCCCATCGACCTGATTCGATTCGGGCCCTGGTGCAAATGGTCTTAGAGGGGAGTTTTCACACTCTTCTTTCGTGCAAAGACGGGACTGCAGGGACTGCAGTCGATTCAACTTTCAAGAGTCTGGCTACCAAGTGGCAATCCAAGCGTGGCTACGGGGGCACGAAAAGGCACTCAAGTAGGGGGTTTGAGTGATTGAGGGGCCTAAAGGCTTCTTGGCCAGACATCTGGTCCCTTCCTCTTGGAGGCTGGAGCGAATAGGCGAATAGGGTCTTCAATTAGTGTTCCTCTTGAAGGGAGTGGATCCAGAATGATCCAGACCTGGGGACAAAGAGCTTGGGCCTTTGAGAAAAGACTTAGAAAGCCTGAAGAGTTCATTGGAAGATGTACATGAAGGGCCTCTTCAGAGCTTTTGGGGTTTCCACTTCGGATCGGAACGGTCACTGTTGGTCCATCAGTACACAGGATTTCGGTCTACACAAATCTGGTGTCGGACGTGGCGTACTTAGCTGGATGTACTTTTGCTCCAATGAGTTCGGCGCTGTGCACTGTGCCAATCACACCAACTTCTTAGCCGAGAAGGAGCGACCTCCAACTTGAACGGCTGACCTCAGCTGACCTTCAAAAAATTTGAACATCCAAGCTTGCATGTCTTCACGGTGTTACACAAGGGTGTAAATACCAAGCCATGCAAAACGCTCACCAGGTTGAATGGTTGACCCTGTAGCAGCAGCAACCGCGGACTTACTGAGGCACTGTTTTTTGTCAGCATCAGGCTCCAACAGCCCCAAGCACGCTTGAAAAGCGCATGGGCAGAAGACCCTCCCCAGTTGCACGCCTGCTCCAAGTTGCCCTGCTCTTCCAGCAACAAGGCTAAGTTGTGTGCTGTTTGCAGCGTCTCCAAGTGCCTAGGCCCGCAGAAGGGGAGGCAATGTTGGACTTTTCACATGGGAGGCCCTTCTGGTCACCAGACTAACGGGGACACCCTGGTAGTCTTGACCAAGAAGGAACAGCATAAGACTACCTGGGAGGTCAACCTACCCTCATGAGTTCGGGGCAACGCCATGACCCACGGCCAGGCAGCCAGGTCTGGTGGGCGACTTTGATATCCAGCTCATGCCGACCGGACGACCGGGAAGGCATGAAAGGATGAAGAGGAGAGAAGTGCACAAGTTCCATCCATCTCTTCTTCCGTGGTTTCTTTCCTTTTCAAGAGGTGAAGCCGATGGTTCCCGGATGCTGAGCTGAACATGGAAGCTTCTACGTGGGTTCTAGAGCACCGGGTGAGGCGGCTGGTTGACTGATTGATTGGGATTCTGAGTTGCAAAGGTCAAACTTCGATGCAGAAATCAAGTCAGTCAAGTCTAGCCGCTCCCTTCTTCAAAAAACAACGCTTCAAGGCACCTGTCTTCCAAAAAACAAAGGCTTGCGGCTTGGTTTCCACATCCATCCACCAAGCGCTTGGAATTCCTTTGGAATTCCCCCCCCAAACACATCCAAGCGGGTCTTAGACTGCGCCCCCCACTCAAACGGTCCGTCCTTCCCTGTTCTTCCGCTTCGGCTGCAATCCCTCACCATTTCGTGCGGGAAAGTCGAGGCTCAAAGAACCTGCCCTGCAAAATCTCACTAATCGAAGCACCCAAACAGAATGGAACCAGTTGAGGTTCAATCCCTTTCCGCGGCTTCGAGCTTCCCCTTTTTTGTGGACCTCGCTGGTGCAGACCGCACCGGTCGAGCCTTTTGTGCAAACGGTCTCGCACACAGAGTGAAAAAGACATATATCTGTTAATGTGTTTTGAATTGAAGATAAGAGTTCCAAAGCATGTGTAAATGGAAATTAGACTCCACTTATCAATATCCGGCTCAACGGAACTCATCTAGCCCACAGAACTCATTGGTTTGCCATGCTTCAGCAAACCCCTGCTGCCAGACTTGCTGCCAAGAAGCTTCTCACCTCTGAGATGTGATTGCTTCTGAAGTGTCTCTTCCAGCAACGGCTTCGCCTCAAGTCAGCACAGGGCGGCACGGATGGGCGGCACGAATGGGCCTGCTTAGTGCTGAGACAGTCCTCCTTCCACGCGCCAGACCGAAAAAGGCGCTTCGGCGGTTCGGCGGGTTCGCCGGTTCGGTCTTCCTCCAACAGACCAGTGCCAAACAGCAGCTTCGTCCCCCACCGAAACTGCCAACCCCTTGGAGAGCCTGAAACATCACCGGTTTTTCCGGAATTCCTTCGACCAAGTCGCTTTCGATCGTTTTCGCACCCAATCGTCCCGTTCGACTCGGCACGAGTCGATCGAAGTCCATTCAACGGAGTCGGACGAGGAGTGACTCGTTTTTGTTTTCGATCGATGGATCGTTGGGCGATTGGCCTCTTCCAGGCGATCCATCTCGAAGAGACAGTTGCCCAGGTTGGACAAACTGGCAAGCCTCAGACTGTCCGACAACAGTAGAACTTGGATTTTGCTGTCCAGGAACCTGAATTGAAGTAAAACATATTCCCCAGAAGAAAATTTAACCGGGAAAATTAACATCACCTGATCCGCAAAACCAGGTATATCATGGAGACGGAGTCTGCCGGAGTAGCGGTTTTTGGATGTCGTGCGGCCGAGCAGGAGTTCCGAGGTCCTGCACGGTGGTAGGTCTTGGCGAGTCTTCTGTGTGTCAACGGTTTCCTTGTTCACCCAACATAAATCAAGGGAGGTTTGATCGTTGCGGAGCTTTTGCAGTTCTACTTGCACTACGGTTGTAGTCGTAACGTATGACATGACTATGATTGAAATAGATTGAAATGGTGCTGTGGTCTTAGTCTTCTGATGTGCTTTCTTGGAGGCTCTTGTTGGGTCCTGTCAGGATTAACATGGATTACATAGGTCAAGTGAACCATTCAAATCACCCAAAGTTGTTCCTATGCGGAGCGCATCAATCTCTGGCTACTGAGATTCACAGGTCAGAGTGAATGATTCCAGCACGAACACTTGAAGCCCGCTTCCCCACTTGGAGGTTGAACAATCCTTGAAACCCAGCCGGGTAGATGAGAAGTTGCGAACATAGACGAGTGGATTTGAAGAGGAGACTCTATGGCTGGTTATATTCTACCTGCCCTTTGTCCAGGACAAACATCACCACCCCCCATGATGGGGGGGGATCTTTATTTTCTTTGTAACTTACATTTTGCACAGGTTGGTACCTGGAAAATGTAATCTAACATTAGTGGCAAGACGTAGAACATGTAATATTACATTTTCCAGGTGCCAACATGCCTGAAATGGCCTAAACAAACATGTAAGTTGCAATGGGACGTATGGCACGCACAGATTGCACAAACATGTGAGGTCATATGAACATTGCTCAAAACCTATCGGGAAGTTGTTCCAATGGGCTCTTCTTCCGCAAGTTCCTTTCGCAACACTTTCGCGGCTTGGGTTTTGGTTTTCACGCCCTGCATTCTGAGCAAAAACACGTTAGCAAGCTTTGGCGGACGGCGGACGGAACTGATTTCGTAAGCTTTTGCTGGCGCTCTCCCCCAGTTGTGGTTTGTCCCTGGTTCCCAGCTTAATTACAGTTCCTTTTCAGGTATGTCCTTCTTAAGGCTTATCTTCTTTCTAGCTGTTGTTTCTCTAGATTTGCTGGCGCCTTTCACATTTGTTGCTTATCCCTGGTTCTCAGCTTACATTTTCTGTAAAGTAGGAATGTCCTTCTGAAGGCTTATCTTCTTTCTAGCAGCCTAGCTGTAGCTGCGGTTTCTCTAGGTTTTCTGGTGCTCTCCCCAATTTTGGTTTCTCCCAGGTTCCCAACTTACATTTTCTTTTTGGTATGTCCTTCTTAAGGTTTATCTTCTTTCTAGCTGTTGTTTCTCTAGATTTGCTGGTGCCCTCCCCAATTTTGTCTCATCCAAGGTTCTCAGGTTATTTGTTGTTTTAGTAGGTATGTCCTTCTTAAGACTTATCTTTTTTCTAGTTGTAGCTGGTGTTTCTCTAGATTTGCTGGTGTTCTCCCCAATTTTGGTTTCTCCCAGGTTCCCAGCTTACATGTTCTCTTAAGTATGTCCTTCTTAAGGTTTATATTTGTTCTAGCTGTTGTTTCTATAGATTTGCAGGTGCTCTCCCCTGTTGATTCATCCCAGGTCCTTAGCTTACATTTTCTCTCTCAAGTAGGTATGGCCTTCTTAAGGCTTATCTTCTTTCTAGATGTTGTTTCTCTAGATTTGCCGGTGCCCTCAATCATTGCTGTCGGGTGCACAGTTGCTGACAGGTTCACCCGGTTGGTTGAAAATGCTATGGTGGACATGCATTTTCAAGCCTGCCTTCTGCATGTTACATTTATGTTTTATCAAAAACAAGAAAAAATGTTTTTTTGCTGCTCTGGCCTTCTGAAAGAAGACGTCCAACCTCTCTAAGTTACATTATTCTATTTAAAAAACAGGGGGGACCTGGACCTCAATAAATGTAAGTTGCACTTTTTCACGTCCCCCCCCCAATGGTTTTTTCTGCGTCTCTTCTGTCTGTGTTTCCTCAGATTTCCCCAGTGATCTGCTAGGGATCTCCAGTCCGCGCATGTTCTTTTTGGGGGAGGGGGTCAAAATGTAACTTTGAAGCTTTCACAGAAACAAAATGAAGCAACCTTCTATGCCTTTGCTTGATTTTGCTGGCTGCGTGAGCAAGGTCCACCCCCCGTCCCCCCCCCCCCCCGCAAAATGCCTGAAACTGGACCAACATTTATACACCCCCCCGAAAAAGGAAATTACAATAGAAAGGTCCCCCCTGTTTTCAATGCCTAAGGGGGTGGTGATGGACAAACCACTTTCTGTAAGCAAGTTACTCAAGTAACTACTTGGTGCCCGACCCTTAGATGGCCGTGGTGTTTCCTGAGGACCGTCTAATTGAACACGCGCACGGCGGTGTAGCGCCACCATCTTTTTCAAAGATGCAACTGCAAATCCCACGTTTTGCGGAATCACAAATCTACTTTTTTATGCACTCACCGGCTCTGCTTAGCGACTTTGCACAGCTCGTTCAGCAGCAGTGTTGGCGCACATGGTCCAAGAGATCTTCGCCACATGTACTGCATGACCATGACTAATTTACGGAGCTCTGGGTGTTCTTTGATTTCATGACCATGGCCAATTCTCCTAGGAAAGGATGCCGGAATAAGTCGCTTCAGGCTCAGCCATCCAAGATCGGCAATCTGCGTTCCATCTACATTCGAAATCTTCTCGTTTCTACTTTTGGGAATCTTCCTAGTCCACTCTTTGTTTTGATGACAAACCTTTGCATGGGGGATTTTCAAAAATTTTGCGTGAGATTCCCAACTCTTGTTTCCATCAGCAAAGATCTTAGAGACTGACCGATGCTCCCTGGCAACCTGTTCTAATAGCAAACGACTCTCGCGCACCTCAGCCAAGCTGTCAGTCGGAGGCCTGCTCACCAATACAGTGACCTCATTTTGGAGAACATCATGAGTAACCAGAAGGGGAGCATGGCACTACGAAAAATCATGTGAGGGATGTGGGTTTCGGAATGCAATGCAAGACGAGGCACGCGGGGAGAGCTGAGATGCAGCAATGCTGGACCATCTTGTTGGAAAGCGCCCAGACACTCGATGTGGACGCAGAAGGACTTCGGTTTGGCTCGGCCGGCTCGAATCTCCTCCTGCTGAATCTCGGAGATCTCTTTTTGAAATCTTGTACAGCCCTGGCCCACGCTGAACTTTCCCAGCGAAGTCCTGTCGCACTCAACATTGCCGCGCAAGGTCATGGTGTTTGACAGTCACTCACCTGCACGACATTCAATGTCACGTACAACTTGGATGAAGTGCATTGCCTGCTTCTTGGAGGAACGCGTGGCTTGCACCAAGCTGGCCACTTGAGGCGATTCATGGCGATTCCGCAAAATCGTCCTTGACGTAGGCTCTGAACAAGTCGAGGAGATGCATGCAACTGCAGCGAAAGCCACAGAAGAAAGAGAGCGTGAGGAACAACGTCCGCTGTTCACGCTTCGTGCAGCGCCAGTGAGCAGACCTGCCCTCCTGCTCATGCAGACAGTTGTAGAAATCCTTGCCGTTGCAAGAATCACACATCTTGGGCTTCCAAGCAAAGCCATTCCGCGGCAACCATGTCTGAGCGCATTCTTCGCTGGCCATCGCTTCCTTCAAGACATCTTGCAGTCTGAGATATGTTTTATTGTTGTGCAATGCAACGAAGACCTGGAGCTGGGATGCAAAAAAAGCATCGAATAAGAAAACATAGCAAGAAAAACACATGGCCTACCGGGGGTCGTGGTCCAACTACTTGCACACGTCTTCTCAGGGGTCGTCTGTGTCTTCCACTTCCGTGTTGGAGGGAGGACGTTGAGTTTTGAGCGGAAAAATCTCTATTTTGGACCACCAACCACCCAAAATATGGTCTTTTCATGTCTTTTCCTATCAAAACAAAGGTCAAGTGGGTTCCAGGTATACCTACTATATTTTGTACATAATAGTACAGGTCCTAGATGAGTAGTCACACCAAGCCCAAGCCACCAGAGATTCGTCCCATCCTCCTGCGCACGTCTGCCACGTCTGCGCGCAAAAGAAAACGGCCGACCACTACGAAGCGAGGGAGTACCGCCCAGCTGTGCTCCCGCACGTGTACGGATGCGCCTCGCCCAGCGCCTTTTTGCAGCCGTCATGGACCTGGAGCTTTCGACAGGATCCAAGTTTGCCGAGGATGGAGGCAAATGGCTGTGGTGAAGTTCCATTTCATCTTGAGGACAACCCAAGCGGGATTGGATTGGTGTGATTGAAGGCTCAACATCCACGAGTAGAGCCTCAATCTTGCAGTCCAATGACCCTGAAAGTAGCAAAGGATACTGGTGAAGGTCCATAGGTTTAGGTTCACTCTTCTATGCCTCACAATTCGATCCATCTATATCCATCTTAGGTAGAAACTGCCAGAACGGGCGCGTTCCAAAGCCACCGGGCCCAGTGCGCTATTCCATGTTTGTCCCGTTCCGATCTCTGTCGATCCGCTTCTCCGTTGAACGGCGACGTCGAGATGCAAACGATCCGAGATCCAGCGGGAACGGCCTCGTGGTAGACTTGAATGGCCTCCTCCCACGTGTTGGCTTCTCGGTGCACCTCGAGCCAGAGGTGCGCACGCGACTCGTGCACACACGACTCGATCACGGGTCGATGGCACGGGGGTCGCGAGGTCGACGTGGCTTTTTTGGGCGGATGCGTCCAAGGAAGGGGTAGGATCCCTAGGATCACTAGATGAGTGAAGGCTAGGGCCGAAAAGGGTCTGGGTGTGTCTGAAACACCAAGACAAGCCATAACCTGGCACCTGGTAGTGACAAAATCAACATGAACCGAGCCCTCACAGTTTTTGAGGCAAAGATCTTTAAACGACTCCAACTCATCACTCACTCAAATCAGCGTTTGGTTGAAAATCCCAGCGTGTCTCCCCTGAAAAAACCGATGCCTGGGCCAGCTGGTTCATGAGAGTCAAGGTCTTTGCATGCAACGGGCCATGTCGCTCTGACATATCCCTGGCAGGTTCTGCCGCTCAGCATCGTGTCGTGCGTGCGGTGCACACGGCCGAAAGCGTGCTGCAGGTGCAGTGCATTCTGTGCAAGCGTGCGGCACAATCAGCCATTGTGCGGTGGGTTCGGTGATTTTGTTTTGAGGTGGCTTCAGTCTTGACACCACGATGCACATGATTGTGTTTGATTACATGCCACCAAGAAGTTAGAGGTTGCTAGTGGTCTGCGAGTGTGGTGTTTGCCAGACTTCAGATCAATTGTTTGCGGGGCATACAGGGTGTTTCATTTAAAACAACAAACTCTTCATCCAACCGTGTGAAATCACGTATTGCTCAGCAACGTCGATGTCATCGGTCCGGTCTGAAGGCGAAAAAATAACAATAAAAAACAACACCAGCTCTTAAAAGGTCTTACTTAATTACTGTGTTTGATTCTGTGTAATGGATGTCATCTTAATCTTGCCATGGCACACAGTTGGGATGCGATGTCCAAAATCAAACAGTCTTCTAGTAGTGGGTGCTTTTCCAAATGTATCCCTTGGCTCCGCCACCCTTCCTGTGTCAATCAACCTCAAGACAGTGCCGGTAAGACTTGATCTGGTTCTCAAGCTCTTTCATCTGCTTCTGCCACTCCTGGCTCGCAATCACCGAGCGTCCGTCATTGGAAAAAATCGCACAGGGAACCAAGAATCACAGACTTGGATTATGAATGTGTTGAAATATCTGCAATTATCTGCATATTGTATCCTGCGGGCCTGCGGGGTTAAATAGCAATACACTGCCCATCTCACCTGCGGCGTAACTCCCAACTCACCTGCGGTGAGTATACTCATACAATATCATACTTGGTATCCCTGGGGTCCCTGCATGTCAGTGCAGTTTCAACATCAAGCGGACACCTAACTGCTTGCTGTGAAGTGGAACTCCAGTGGTGCTTTTGTTGGGCCACCTTTTCCACCACTAAGGACCAAAAATTGGGCAACAACCCGCGTAATTGCATGAATTCGGAGCATTCCTTGGTTTTCTTCATCAACAACTCCTTCATCTCCCTCTCACCAGGCTTAAAAGATATATACATTCACCTCCTAAGACCCAGAAATAGCCCTTTCCGCCCGCCCAAGTCCTCCATGGCTGACACGGTGGAGTACACCGAGCCATACCGCGCCGCCGGGTCCTCTCCATTCGTCGGTTCTTGCTTCGGAGTTCGGAGGGGAGAAGGATGGTATACACGGATGGTAAAAGGATTGGACAAAGAATATATGACCACATGAACTTACGGCAAGCCGTAGATTCATGTAGATTCCTTTTCTGGGGGCCAAAGGATGGGACCATTCGGAAGACTTGCCGAGTCAACGACGAGTGCAGCACACGCGTCCTTCCGGACCCGATCGACGTCGGCGCGTCGGTCCTTGCTGAAGCTGGAGCTCTTCTTGCGCCTCAGTCTTTCGCTTGCATAAGGTCTCCAAAACCAGCCATTGCAAAGGCACACGTCTAGGGCGGTTGCAAACGACTATTAGCTTAGCATAAGGTCTCCAGAACCACCTTAAAACATGCAGGTCTCCAAGTTGATTTCACCGGAATCCAGTTTTCCAAGAAGGTGAATGGGGAGACACTGCAATATACTGCAATACATTGAAGCAATAGAAAGGGAAAGCATTCACCATCATCCGCAAACTGTCTTCTCTTGAAATCGATTCCTCTCTTCATTTTGGCTTGATGATGCTTGATAATTATTCAAATGCCAGAGCACAACAACACACACACAAAATCTCTCTATATATATATACTTCTATCGAAACACTCAAATCGATGGAGACTGAGCAACATTTACAGACTAAACCACCTGTGAGCGGGAGAACTTGCCAACCCAGCATCGGCCATCTTCAGAAGATTTAAAAAAACAAATGTCATGTCACCTGCACAGCATGCGTGGAACGGCCCATGATAAGGCAAACTTCCCGTTCGAAGCTCACGTGGAACCGGTCCGAGTGGCGGGGAGGCGGTGGTCTTCCGGCGCCACATGGGTGCCTGGTGACGAAAAGGCACTCAGAGGTCTGGTCTCAGGTTCATTGGGACTTGGCAAAGGAAGGGAGTGGGAGGGGAGGGGAGAGGGGAGAGGAGAGGAGGGAGATGGTACACCTCCAAGCAACATCCAAATCCACAACGCTGAATGTACAATCTAAAAGTGGGCAGTTCACCTGTCATAAGGAATGCATCGGAACAGTGTGTTCCTTCACAACTCTCAGCTGCTTAGCTCAAATCCCAAAACTATTTGGGGCGGGCAACCCCTCATAATATTGACTATACCCAAGAACCCCTTTCACATCTTAGCCCAAGAGGATTCCCAGTTCTCATCATGGAACCTTCTAAATATGCCCTCCCCAAAAGAACACCATTCTTTCGAATTCCTAGACCTCGTCCCAGCACCACCTGTCTCTTCTCGTCCCTACTTCGGTCCACCTCCGCGCCTTCGGTCGACCGCCGCGGCCGCGCGGCCCTTCATCCCGAGACGTCTCGGCTCGAGCCCGACGGGCGACCGAGGTGACCGGGACCGAGTGACCACGCGGCGGGTCACGACGGAGCGCGCGCGGGAGCGAGTCGTCGACCGGTACAGCCGAGAGGTATGACGGGGTGGTTTCCAAGTCGAGGATTTAAACTGATGTCATCTCATCTCTTACCTATAGAGGCGCAAAATGCTGGTGTGAGGAGGATTTGGAGCATTTCTGGGGAAGCAACCAGTTCTTGGTGTATCTATGTGTATCTAGGGGTATAAACCGGGCAAAAGTGGGATGGCATAGCTGTGGCTTAAAAAATGTTCGAGCCAGAAACCCACAGGATGTAGATGGTTATAGTCTATGTGTCTTTCACGGCTCAAGCAGCTTGGGCTCAAATATAGGTCAAATGAACAACACACTATTGGTCTTGATCGGGCACTGCTTTTGTTGGCCAATGATATCACCCCACACACCCCAATGATGCGCGGTTCCTAGGGATTCTCAGCACATCTCAAGACTAACCCATTGAGGAGAGGGGTGAAAGAACATGAACGGAAAGTGGAAATGAAATAATGTGTAAACGGGATGGCACACCAACGTGAGAAACATTAGGACGGCGCGTGCCGGGATACTTTTATTTTGCGGGAATGATATGACGAGTCGCATGTCTGGAAGCCTGTTGGTATTCCAGTGGGTTCAACAGTTCAACCTGACCAAATGAATAGGTGGAGGGTAGCCATTCCGGGCAGACGTGCAAAATGTTCAATTGCAGTGCTCCAGGACTTCTGCCTTTGACAGTGGAACCATGCGGAACCCTCTTCTTTCCCCTGTGCCCATGTGCTTCCTTGTGCCCTTCATCAGAGCTTTTTGGCCGTGAGACGAGATGTAATCGTGAAACCTGAAGATGACTTGGTCAGCCTTCAGCATAGCCACCGCTAGGTCACAGCTATTGTCATTGTGATCAAGGAGTTCCATTGCTTGGAATCATAGCATTGGCACTTGATGCTCTTGATGTCTGTTACAAAGTGAGGGTCCCAAGTCCCAACGGTCAACATAACAATTTCGCTGGAATAGAACAAGGGCTACAGTCTACGCCCTACCCTCCAAGATCCAGCAATTCTGGGCAAAGCATGGAAGAAAAAACTGGACAGCAATGGACAGCAGCATACAGACATATACAGACCTCCAAATAGATAGAAAAGTACATCCCACTCAAGATGTATTGGAAACCGTGCAATCCTATCTATTTGGATCACTATTAGGCCCCCCAAACCCATGTCTTTTCTGCTTCTGCTTCCCGGAACGCCCGCGCCCCAGCGCCCCCACCGGACCGCAGCGGCGTCGGGCCGGTCCGGTCAGCGGCGCCCAGCGCGGGGTTAGGTGTTCAGAATCCGTGCGAAGGACGGCGCCCGATGGAACTGCGCCGGGCCTGGGAGCGTCGCAGCGGGAGCGCCCGAGCGGGAGCGAGCGGCCATGGCATAGAAGTCAGCGGCCTGGTCTATGCCTGGTCTATCTATGATGTGAACATGGCGATATGGAGATGCGAGGATGGATGGAGGATGGTCTTTCCAACATGTTCATACCAGTTCAATGATTCACACATCGAGCACTTGTTGGAAACACTATGTTGCTTAACCATGGCATGGGGTGGGGACGATCTGTTCTTCACTAGAACACACGTGCCGGACATCAACACATGGGCCTGTCTGCAAAAGTGGGGAGTCCTCGCCAATGTTTGGACAATCCGGCTGTGACCGCAATCGAGTAGACCCACCATGGCCCAGTGCTAAGTGGAACAATGAGAAAGATCATGAAAGATCTACCATTTTCTGGTACTGAGATTCAATGCATGGATGGGTGTGGTTAAAACATGGTAAAACCTGAACTCTTGAAAGAATTCTGAGATTTGTTTGACGATGTCCGCCCCTTCTGTTCTCCAGACAACCAGCCATCATCAGGGCCGTCAAAGCAAGGGGCCCCCGCGGAGGGAGGGCATGCTGGTGGACCCCCAGCCTGAAGAGGTTGGCAGTTTTGGGCACGGTTTCACAGCTCAAAACCTGGTCGATTCGATGGATGCATCTTTGGATGGATATATGCAAGGATGGATGGAAGGCTTGCTGTATATCCTCGAGGAATCGACCATGTGATTGTATTTTTCACAATTGATTCTGGTGTCAGAAGATCTTTTCTGTGGTAAAAAAGGAGTAAAAACACATCATAAGGTACGACTCCCAGGAGAAAGGACGAATGTGCACCCTATGGGGTGTGCGGTGCAAAAAAAAGCGCGTGACAAACACGATTGCGACTCGCAGGGCAGCAGCGAAAGCTGCTGAACTTAACTGTCAGAAGTCTTCTTGTAAGGTCATGCAAGTTTGGCTTAGCTACAAGAACAAGTCACAGCTAAGTAGCCAAACTTGCATAACCTCGAGAGGCAAAGAACACGAGGGTGTACTGAGTCCATTTTGTGAGTATGGTCAGTATGGTGTATTATGTTCATATGCAAGCTATACTGTAGGTGTCTTGACATTCATATGCAAGCTAATTAGGTTTCTTTCCGCCAAAGCACTTCTCAGTTCCAGAACATGCCAAGGAATTCCTAAGACCCTGTCCTCCACAACAGGGACCGAATTAGAAGTTGATGTTGCCACGTCAAGTGAGAGGGGTACTCTCTTCTTTTATGCGAACTTCTTGACGTTTTTTGGTGCAGGAATTCAACTGCATGGGAACTTCCAATATGGAAAGCTTCAGAAGAGGATCTTCTGAAGACGGTCTTCCCAATTCTCCAAACTCCTTCCACGCTTCGTCGCCTGCCAGCTGATTCGAATAGGCCGGCGCTCGAATGGTCGGGACACGATCGCCTGAGGCGTCGGACGTCACCGGGTCGGTCGGGGGTCGACCGGTGTGCTTTCGTTTGGGTTCGTCGTGGCCTTTTTCGGTGGCCAGGGGGGTGTTTGGGTGGCCCCACGGTCTCTGCAGGTGTTTTGGCGTGTGGTTTTTTCTTGGCGGTTTTCTCCTACGAGTTTCAAGCTGAACTTGGACGGTCGTCGAGCTCGGAGGCCTTGTTTGATCGAATCTCGTGGGGTGAAATCGACTCGTCGACGTTGGGGTGAAAGGGGGCCTACTTCTCAAGTGAATAGGGGCCTACTCTGTGTTTCAATGCTTTGATTGATGGCTCTGCGGCTCTTGTTCAGTGCAGGGTGTTCAAGCTTCTATCTCACGCATGGTTAGGTTCTATTGTTTTATCTATAGGAGTATACAAATTAACTCATAAACACATATAAACACCATGACTCTTTGCGGTTCTCAGCCAACCTTCATGTGATTTGGGGACCGAACAAGGACGGCTCAACGGCCGGATGGGATGTCGCGCCGGCTGGGAGGTCGCGCTACGGCCGAAGTCCGTCTCGCCGCGGATGGAAGACAAAGTGGCCGCCATCTGTTTGGCCTTAAAACTGGCATGTGTTATAAAGAAATGCAATGCAACAACAGCATCAGGGCAACACCAAACATGCCAGTTCACTATGCTTGACTATAGCTGATACTCGCTGCCTAGCAGTCCTTTCGGATCTTAGAGGGTCGGGTCAACCAGGGTTTTAGTGTTTTGACCTGCGATGTGTCGACCAAGCACATCCACCCAACTGCGATAGGTAAAAGGATGACCAAGAAGCAACATCAGTATGGTATGGCGGTGACTTCCGCGGACCAGATCTCCATCTAATTCTAATCTTCACCCTGATTCTTCTCCAACAAACATGTTCCAGCATGCCTATTGAATCCTCGGCCACCCCAAAAAAAACACGTACATTTAATGTGAAACCGGGCGTTTCCTGAAAATTGTGCAAGGCACCTGGGAAGAAATAGGAGTGAATACGAGTACTTGTCCCACATCAAAGAAACCGTTGACTTCACAAAGGACATCTAGCCAAGTTCACTACGTTTTAGCAGCTAAACTTAAATGCAATATATGAAACAGCTATGTATGCACCTTGAAAGGTCGTCAACACCGGTGCGTTCGGACTTCGGTGCTTCAGGGACACCCGAATCCCTTCGACCTAGCTCCCTGGACGGTCGTTCGAGGGGCTCCAGAGGTTCGATGCGCTCGCAAGCTCCAGGGCAAGGTGGAGGTCATCAAGGGCACCTGGCGAGTGGCACGTCCCGTTCAACGGGGCAGTCGCCCCTTTCGTTGCCGGCTCCTGCCTGCTCCGGCCGTCACTGATTCGTCGTTTCGCGGTGGGACGTGGTGAGAGGCCATGCGGAAGAGGTGAGATGTTGGTTGAAAAGAGATGGGTCTTGATCCGACTGGTCGAAGGAAAACGTCTTTTGCCAAGGCTATATAAACCAGCCTGCATACTCCAAATCATGTAATTTGAAGGGCAAGTATGGGCAAGCCGGACTTAACATCTGCTCCTCTGCATTTTTTTTTTCGATACTCAACCTCGCAGCTCCTCAACCTCGCCCGTTCGAACCCTCCGTTCAGCCAACGGCTCGGCTTCGCCGCCCACCGCCTGCCCCGTGGGGATGGGCTCCAGCAGAACCGTCTCGGGGCGCCGGTCCGCCTTGGGAAACCTGCGGTTGCGAGGGCGTCGGTCAGTCAGAGTGATGGGGAGCTTCCAGGTCTCTGTGTCTCTCTCTCTCTATATATATATATATATTGAATTCAGCTATATTTATATATTACGTAGAGAGATTAAATATATTTTTCTGGAGGTGTGGAGTGTTGCTCTAAACGTGGAGAGCTTTCATCTGACTGTATGTAGAATATTGTGCACCAATAATACGTGAATTCCCCGGATGTTTTTCATTGCAATTGGACGTCCTAATTTGGTCCGTGAGTTCCCATCCCACAAGCCGCCAGTTTCTGAGCACGCTTGTTTTGAAGGAGGTGTGATGCAAACATGACTAGAATGATTCAGGAAAGAGCGAAATTATATAATGCTTACAGCTCGGGGCTTGCGTCCCGACACAGCATTGCACTGTCAAGCTGCAGCCATCGCAATCATATAGTAAAATGCATTAAAATGCATTAAAATGCACAACAGGATGACATGTGCACTGCACAACGGCACATTGTCGCAAAAATGTGCCAAAGGCGCGGAAAATTGAAGCTGGGGAGGCCACTTATATATCTAACAGCAGTGCTGCGGTTGGAACTTGATGAAGCTTCGCGAGACCTTTCAGTCACACTTTATCGAAGGGCTGAGGTCTGAGTTCAGCTGCATAACGAGCAAGTCCCTG